GGGCATAGTTAGTTTACTTAGTTAACTTACAATAAATTTATAGATCACATAAATGTTGTTAAAGTTAAAAATCTCTTGTCGATTAAAAAAAGTTTATGATATTTAATAAACCAATACAAAGTGATCTATCATTCATAAAGACAAGATGCGCAGAAAATTGTCTCTACTCGGACAAAACTTGGATACTAAGGTATTTCTTTTATAAGAAAAAGAAATGTCAAATTAAATCATCTTGCAATTAATTAATGAATATGTAAAAGATTAAAAGGAGCAGAACTTACGGTTTGACTCAATTTATTAATGAAATCACACTTGAAAAAAATATTTACTATATTTAAAATTCAAATTTTAATATATATAATTTATTTTCATTTATCCAAATTGCAGTCACTTTTGTGAAAAAAAAAAAAAAGAAAAGAAAAGAGAAGGACATAATCTCATTGCTATGACGGAACGATTAAGGTGGTGAAACTGCTGGGTGTGAAATAGTAATTAGATGGCAATGTCAAGGGCAAATCACGTGGAAGCCATTTATGTTTGTCAAGTCCATTGTAGGCACGTCATATTCCTTAATTCTCGCTTATCGCTATGGTCGGGAGTACTATTTGATTTTGAGGAAAAAAAAGAAAAAAAAATGCGGATCACATACATTAACAAACCGAATAAGTAGAGCATATGGAGCACATATATGACGGTTTTGTCTCATTTTTCTTATGTTCCTTCAATCCCTTCTTATAAATTGTCACTTTATTTGATTTTTTTTATTAGGTTCTTTTATTTTACTAATTTTTTTTTAATTGTTCACGTAATCTTTATTAAATATCAAACTTAAAATCATTTGATATTAAGTAAAAAGTCCTTAATTAAATATAAAATTATAAAAAATTAAATATTTATTAGATGTAAAATAATATAACTTTTAACAAGTCTCATCACGTAAAGTTTATCCTATGACAAATTTAAAAAGAGTAACAAGAAAGAAATCTTGATAATTATAACATATTAAGTATTTAATTTAAAATCAATTGATAATAAGTTAAGGTATTTAACTTAAATATTAGATTACAAAAAATTAAATATTTATTAGATGTAAAAGAATATCATTTTAACAATCTTAAACATTGTTTTATTAATTGAAAAAGGGTTAATTGAAGTCTGGTTACAAGGTGATAGAGGGAATTGTTCCAAAAATGAAGAAAAGTAGAGAATAGAAGGAAAAAAAGTGGTTTATTATTAGCTGTTTGAACAACTAAACTCTTAATTCTAAAAGAAAATGATCAAATTTACCGTCATATTAGAATTGAAATGATCTTAATTACTTCAAAAAAGAAAATTGCCAAGCCTGTAATCAAAATTATCCTGAGATGCCAGTTATGGAGTGGTAGCCAATTATTAATATATTATTGATCCTTCTAAGCTCACAAGCTTGGCCCACTTTGATATGCAAAGATACGAGGAATATATTAGCTAGGCATGGCCTGCTTTATAATATACAAAGTTGATGAGGGAATTATGCCTAGGGAAAAAGAAGAAGGTCGAACAAAAGGTACTAAAACAATACTACTACAAACTTCATTTTACTGCTTCCTTGTCTTATTTGATTGTTTGGTGATATAATTGAATTTGATACTTATTTGATTCGGAATTCCTGCCTAACCGATGAAGCAACTAGGAACCGCATAGGCAGCAGCATGCCTACCAGACTGTTTCTCACATTCGGCATTGCAGGTTCACATCCAGTCCAGAACCAGGTCTGCCCTAAATTATATATCCTTTGCACCAACCCTACCACCATAGCTAGGTATAGCTCTTTTATCACGTCTCTCTCTTGAAGATTCCATCGAGTGTATTAGAATCGGTATGGGGGCGATTTTTTTTTTTTAACCTAAAGTCCAAAGAAATTAGGTTATGCTCAACTCGTTTTGGTTTGTTTATAATTATTTCAGGTTCGATTTCAATAAGATTAATACCAATCATTTGGTTTCGTTAGGTCTCAACTTTTGTAACTAAAAAGGTTTAAATTAATTTAATGCTCATTACTTAATTAATTAATTAATTAATTAACGGAATGAACCACTTTTTCTTTCTTTTTTTTTTTTTTAAATTATTGAGGAATGAGCCACTTAATTTATTTTACGAAAATTTCGTTGTGATAAATATCTTTTAGGTGCAATCAAGGTTCTAGACTTACAATCAGCAAAATTTTCTTCTTTTGATGAATTTATGGGTTTGCAAATAGTTTGATTGGTCATATATACTTCAAACTTGTGTGTTGTTCACGATGGAATATTTTCCAACTTGACATCCAAATTATTACCTCATGTACTACTATGCTTCAGCCTTCATGTATGTCTGCATCAAAGAGGTTCGTTCTATCAAAGGAATGAATTGAAAGCCCTACCAAGAAATAGTAGTTTGTTTTTTAGCATTTCTTAATTGGATATGCGAAATCTCCAATTGCAAAATGAATGTCATTTTGGGATTAAAATCTTGAATATATTAAACCTATATGTGAGGTAATATGCTCTTAAAAATCATTGAAACAAATATTAAATTCAAACAAAACTTGAAAATACATTTGATTGTATTAAAAAATGTATAGTATGATTAATGATTAGTAGAGAGTATTTTTTTTTTTTTACGTGGTTTCAATAATATTAATGTGCCAAAATGCTTAAAACGATATTTTCTTCATGTCCCTCCCCCTCTCATCCCAATTTACTCTTTTTTTTTTTTTACATAAAAGATTGAAATCTAAAAATAAAGAAAGAGATTATATGTATTAAGCTTCAAATTCTAAACTTATTAAATACTATTTCTTAAAGATAATTACAGAAATCAATTAAATTAAATTAAATTTTTAATTTTTAATTATTCTTTATTTAGGTTTTACCCTTTGCTTAAATGAAGCTTATCTGTCAGGATATAAGAAAAATGGCACCAGATGCATATAGCAAGTACTAATTAATTAAGTTCAAAGTGTGTACACGTAAAAACTTGTACACTAATACAAATCCAAGGTCGTTCAAAACTCAAAAGGTCACAATACCACTAGACTTATTAATCCGTCCTTATAACAATTAGCTCAACTAGATCTTCTATCATAATTACCGTAGTTCTGCCTTTAGCAGAGACTCTATTCTCTAGAGCATTCATGCTACTTTTTACCAGCGGAATCAAACTCTATCAATCTTAAAACGTTCTCGGACACTTGAAATATAGCTTGTGGCCTTGAAGTCCACGTTTTCGTCGCCATGACCCCATGTGTCATTTGCATAGCCATTCTGGTCGTAGAAGCTTGGTGGCTTAAAGCTGGCATAAGACACCTTTTGCGTTGATGATGGAAGATTTGCAACATTCTTCAGTTCATGGAAACTAGTTGGCTGCTTGGAGCTAGCACAGGAATAGGTAGACACCCTTGGGATTGACGGATAGTTTGCCAAGTTCTGGCCTGTGAAAACACTTGCAGAAGAACCGTTTGAGATTGATGATGCCGAGCAGGGAACCACCTTGCTGCTTCCGCTACTACTATCACATTGCTGATGAGATGTAGTTCGTAGCTTGGTGACTCGAGAGAAAGACTTGGCTAGCTTGCCTTTGAAGAACCCCCTTTTCTGAGTTGCCTCCATTTGAGTTATCTAACTATAACAAATCAAAGACTAGTAAACTCTTTCAGTAGAAGAAGCTTTAGAAGAGATGGTATGGTTGGCTTGTTCACAACGATGGGCTAGTTCTCCTCTATATATAGAGCGTTGAGCCTTCCAATCATCCAAAATGACAAATCTACCCCTGACCAACCTCTAATTGATGCAACAATCTCCCTTTAGAATCTAGTTACAGTGACTGAATGAAAAAATAATAGACTAAAGAAACTCTTGTAAAAGAGTTTTTGTGTGAATTGAGCAAAACTGGGCTTTTTAGATAAACATGAAATGAAATCCATGGCTGGCCCACGCCGTCCATCAATTAAAAGTACAAAATCGATAATCAAAATGTTATAAATCTCAGACCCAGACAGGGTACGAACTGGATAACGGATATATTCCTGGCCTATTGTATTGTGCTTTCAACCGTGTTTCAAGATGTGGTTTGCCGATCAGAACTTGCCCTGGATACTTCCGCCCCCCCTGAAAGATACGGCGGGTCTCTTTTGCTTTTCCAGGACTGTGATATGTCACACAATTAGGAGATCTTTATTCAATAGATTTTTTTTATTTATCTTCTTTTAAAGCAAGGCTTTGAACTTCATACAAAATTCCTAAGCCTAATTTGAATTGATTTATTTGATCCCTGTTAAAACTTTTGACCAATGACCTTGCCCATTATAAAAATCAGTTTGAACGTAGCAGAACTTGGCCAAATTCCGTGGTACACCAAAGAGTAGAATTTCTTTTTTTAATTGCTAACCCGTTTAGGCATTTTACCTAACCGAAAGAGTTTGATCCATTGATGCTTTAGTCTTTATTCTTAACCAGCTTTATATGACATATTTCGTGTTTAGGCTCTGTTCTGGATTTTTGTTTTTTTGTTTTTTTGTTTTGGTTTTAAGAATAAACTGTCGCCGATGTCTGGCATCTCGAGAGAGGATGGATTATCACGGTCAACAATGCTGTCAAAGAATATGCCACGACATCACCGATCGTCTCAATCCCAACCGGTCTAGTATTTTTTTTGTCTTGTTATGTTTATCATGTTCTGTTGTTTGGTAATAGCATTTGATTCGAGCTCAGTTCTTATCTGCCTTCAATGGAAATACGTGAAAGGCAAAAAGAATTATAAAGAAGGGAATGGATGAACTCGGATAATCTTAAACATTGGTTCTCTCAGTCCATGAAATACATTGGATAGGGCAATTCTTGTTTAGATAAAAAGAAAAAAGAACGTTTCTTTTGTATGGACGTGGTGAAAAGAAAACTTTTCATTTGTCAGTTGTCACAACAGCAAATAATTGTGATTTTTATTATCATTATTTTATTTTAAAGAAAAATAATTATATTCGGCTCTTTGAACAAGGGATACATGTATTTTTCATTCTCCTTAAATCTGATACTTTCAACTTGGAAATTTAAAAATAAAAGCTGCGTTGGAACAATCTTAGACCATAACCAAGTTGCTAATGAAAGCTTATCCAGCTTTTCTGATAAACAAATTTCCTTTGCCAACGTTTTGACAAATATTGCCAACCAAATGTACAGCTAAAACACCTAGTATTAAATGGACCAGCAGGTAATTGGTTGAACTATCCATCTTTCGCAGGGTTGAACCTTGAAGCATCAAGACTTATATGTAATAACCTTCACTTTCAGCTCAGGTGTTGAGATCTCTAAAGAATGTTTAACAGTAGTAACAGTTTTGGCATAGCTCGGGCAGCTTCTGCTGGGAACTCTGTCTTTCGCCAGCATAAATGAACGTATTAGTGCTCACAACTGAAGTATCTAATGAGATCGAACAACTACAACTGCAGAAGAAAATAGTTTGTCTCAAAGGTTCATGCATAATTGGGAACTCATTTAAACAAGGCCACATTAAAAATTATTAAGGCAAAACACACTTGTACACACTTCAAATTGCCACTGCTTAAAAGGCTCTAAACAGTCTATTTCTAAGGGATAAGAAATTTTGATTACTCAAACCATCTGATTTGAAGGTAGATGGAAATGGCACAATATTACTCCCATGAGAAGGAGAGTGTCTGATGAGTACCACTTGCAGATGACACAGGATGGCCAATTCCAAACATTTCATGTCCACGGTGGTTGGTGTTACTACTGCCATCAGAGGCCAAAATAGTTCCTACTTGCTCACCTTCCATTCCTAGACCATTGTATTGCAAGTTCGGGATCAAGGATGAAGCTAGGCCAGACTGTACCATGGGGCTCAAACCAATCTCCCGAGTCTCAGCTGATTGGGATGACAGAAGAGAGAGAGCACGATTAGAGTCGATGGCTTGATTTAACCCATTTGCGAACATTTTCCGGCTGCAGCCACTATCACTTGATGAAGGACTGACATTGAGAAGTGGTTGACACACAGAAACTCCAGGGAGTGATGAACTAGTGCTTTGCAAGAATGAGAGCTGCTTTTCTCCTGTGTAGTCATTAGATGAGGATCCAGGGAACAAGCTATTTCTGCTGCTGAAATTTAACTCTGAGTTTATATCAGTTTCCATTTTCACAGCCCCTATCCAAGAAGAGGTTATGGCGGTAGTGGAAAATATTTGGGGGCCACTGAACGGTAAATATCTAGTACCTGCAGCCGAATCTCATTATATCAAACAGAGCAAAATACATCACATATAAGCTACTACATGGAAATATTAAGAAAACTGGTTTAATTCTTTCTATGTTCATGAAAAATGAAGGTAAAACAAGTTACTTATTTGAACATTAAAAATCCAGTCAAACCTTGATGATTAGAAAGAAACCTTCCTGAATTTACGGACAGCGAATCAGGTTGAGGCTTTCTCCGTCGTCGGTTGTGTCCATCAAGACGTTTCCTGCAGCTTCGTTTCCCGTCATCAAACTCCACCAACGAATGAAACCTAATAAAATGCATTCATCAGAAACTAACTCTTATCCTTATAAATGAAATATACAACCAAAAAATGAATGAGGACAAGGGACAGACAATCTTGTAAGGAGCAAATCACATTAAAGCATTTAATAATTTGATTAGCATTCATGATGCATAGAGAAAATATTATGCTGTCATAAAATCATAAGAGAATTTTGCACTAAATAGACTCGTGTCAGAAGGACAATTTTAGCAGAGATTAAGCAGCCGTACAATCCTAGACATAAATCGCCCTTAAGGAATCATTAATAATCTTCTAATAAGACAGCAGAAAATGTTAGTAGAAATTCAATTTCTTCATTACCATGTATTCTCGAATCATAGGTTAGAATGTTTTTTCTTTGTAATTGGGTACACTTAAGGCATGGACATTCACATAAGAGCTATGGTCAAATTGAAAAACTGGTTTGAACATGGATTTTGCAAATACGGATTCTAGATTTCTTGTACAAAGAAACAATTGCATTGTGTAGGATTAGGTTGACTTCAGACAACAATATTGAAGCCTACTTCACGATAAATGGTGTTACATATCGGAATTCAGATACCAAAACACCAACAAATAAAGCTTATTGAATACTGAAACTCAATCTCAATATCTCAAACACTTTATACAAAACATGCACCCAAAACAAATTGTACTACAAGGCGGTTAGTAAGCCAAATAAGAAATTTAACAATAGAACTGCAATTCGTGCAAGAAAAAGCAACAATTAAATCCTCCTCAGAAACCTCAAATCACTATGAAACTACCTCAAATTCATTCTCAATGCTCATGACCCTTCGAAATAGGAAAATTTGCAGATTAGGAGGGAGCCAATGGAAAAAGCAAAATGATTGAGGATGGAAAACCTAATCAGTTCCATCTGCATAGAAGATGTTCTAATTATTTACCTGCTACACTGCTGGCAAAACCGTTGTTCCTGACCCCTAATTGTAACTTTTGGGGTTTTGGAGTGGACTTCGCATACTTTATGACGTCGATGGTAGTCCCTGCATTTGCTGAGGTCTGCAGTGCAACCGTCAACCAAGCATGAAGGTACTTGGTTTCCGCAGCCAGGTGCCCGAGCCCTTTTAAACGAAGTAGGTGTTGATGATTCCATCAACGGGACCCCAGGAACCTTAAAGTGTATTCCAAACTCCCAATCCGGAAATGCCAAGCCAAACCTGATTCACCTACTTAACTACTGGACTTAACAGCTCAATATTGCTGCAACATTCAGCTAACCTTAATCAAATTCTTCTCCCCACTGAACTTAAATAACCTGCCCCAATTATCAAATGGTTCTTCATAAAACCATATGAACAAATTAGAATCAGAACAACAATTCCATGACTAGAACACTGGCTTGCATAAGAAAACACCAAGCAGAAATGCTTCTTTTATAACTTTTGTTTCGAAATTATAACATAAAAATTTAAACTTAGAAGAGTTAGGTGTAAATACATAGTAGTACAAACTTTTTCCTTTTCTTTGAAGAAGAATTAGAGGAAGGGGATTGAGTTGGGTTGGAACTCAAAATATGATGCCTACATCACGTGATTCATCAACAAGGACCAAATCAAGGGTTGTTGACAATTAATTGCAATTATTAATGATAAGTTTATAGAAATGAAATCTTCAAGGTGGACGCACAGTTGCCAATGTCTCAAAGAATCATATGAGTCATGACCAAACTTCCCATTCCAATGAAAGAAGCCTAATGGGGCTTTTCCCTAGTCCTAGTTGTAGTGTCCAGGAAGCAACATATGAAGAAGAAAGAAAAGAGGTGGTGGGAGGGGTGTCAATGGTCATTGCACTCCCTTAACAAAGTGCAACTTCTATGGTAATCAGACGCTGGATACCTGTCACATCAATGCAGTCAGCACTCGCATCCCAACCACAAATAGCATGGAAGATATTTTTGGAAATAAATAATGGCCTCTATCACAAAATTTGGTTTTTCTTTTTATTTTATCAAACAAAACACAATGAAAATCCCAATTGGGCTTAAAAATATTCAACTAGCGGATTTTAGGGTACCAAGTTATGCATGACGGGAGCTAGAACTTATGCTTAACAAGTAGCAGTAGTGGTATAATTTTTTATAGTAACCGGGTATTTCCCAAAGTAGAGACATGTTATCTTTGAAGTTGAAGAAATAGTTGCTACTGCCACTTTCATTGACTGAAAAAGGGGAGGAAGACCATATGGGTCTTTTTAACCCGTGACAACATAATTATCATTGCATTGGCCAAGGAGTAGAGGGTAAAGAACCCTACAATTTTTATAAGCATAAACTATACTACTTATTACTACATCCAATTTCTTAATAGAATGGAGAATTTTGAATTTCTGTCTTGAACTTGATATACATACTACTACATAAAAAATACATTACAAAAAATAAAAGGGCAGTTTAATAAAAAAAAAAAAAAGCTAAGTGAGAACTAAATGGTACCTGAGAGAATCCCAGAAATCTAGCAGAGGAAAGGAAGAATCTTATCTTGGTAAGTCCTGCACTGCCAGTTACAGATAAACCGTCAAAAAGAGGAGAGAAAAGTGGGAAAGTTGAAGTGAAAATTTAGTAAGAATTGGAAAACTGGGATACTGTGTAGTGGAAGTAATTGTAGACAAGTTTCAGAAGCTAAGTTAAAAGCAAGAAAGAAAGAAAGAAAGAAGACAGGCCCTTAATTCCTAGCCATTAATATTCTGACAACAGTATCATACCGAAAAGTCTAGCAAGCCGAGAGAGAGAGAGTGGCTGGCTTTGTTGAAGCATATGACAGAAAGAAGAGATTGAGCTAATCTATGAGGGAATTATTGGAAATAACAGAGAGAGAGAAATGGATAATGTATTCAACTGATGAAGAGAAAGAGAGAGATATGAATGAAATTGACAAAGGAGATTAACCATGAAAGGCAACAACCAAGGGGGGTTGATCTTGCCAGCTCTCTTTCCTACCTTTTTAGGCTTAGAGCCTTGAAACAATTTGCAATAAAAAAAAAAAACATAAAATTATGGGAGTAGAAAATTGAGGAAAAAAAGCGAGTGGCTAGGAAAGGGACAGGGTGTCCTTGCCTTCAACTTTTCAAGTGAGAGAAAGGAAAAGTACAGAGGGAGAGAAGAAGTGGAAAAGAAAGTTATGTAAGTGTTTCTTGTGTTCCACATTTTTTTATGTTCGTTTGTTCCTTCATGGGTCTTTTCTCCTTACTCCTTGGGTTACTTTGCTTTAGGTAACACCATCCCATCCCTCAGTTCTCACCCCGTTGGATACTTTTCATATTTACTTGTTTATTCATTATCTTTTAATATACCCATTATCATCATTCATTATATTCAGTCTCGAATTATGAACATCATACAAGTAAATATTTGTCTTGAAAAGCAACCGTGAGAAGTCGGTCGTCCATCCCCACCACTTCGGCTTCTTCCTCTTACTTAAACACTTATCTGTTGGATTTTCAGGCTACATTTTTTTTTTTTTTCTGATTTCTTGTCTTTTAGATAATCAAGTCAAACTATTGAAACAGCATGTGTAAAAGCCCCGAGGCTGATATTATTGATGTTTTGACTAATTACTTGTACTAATTTATAAATTTAAGGTAATTAATTTTTTATTTTTTATTTAATGATCATGTAAATTTAAAAAAAAAAAATCAAAATTGAGATTCGACTTTAGCTTCTCCTCTTCCCTCTTGTTATAGGGTTTTGCCCTCCATTAAAAAAAAATTAAGGTGATTAGATAATATCCAAATGAACTTTATAATTTTATAAAAATAAATTTTTATTTGATTATAAATTATATCTATTTAACTTGAAAATGAGTGAATAACATTTAATTATCAAAATTATTGAAATGGTTTTTTTTTATAGTAAATATCATTCAGTTTATCCTTATAAATCTAGATAAATAAGTTATTATAAATTACAGCAATCACCAAAAAAATTTTAAAACCAAATAATATTCGATAATATCAAGTTCTCATTATAATAAAATAAAACTTCATAATTTAAATTTTATATAAAATAAATGATCGAAAACTTATTTATTTTTAATAAAATAAGAGAATTTATTTGGATATTATCACTAAAGTGATAGCAATGGAATTATTTTGTATTTGACTTGGAGCAACATTAGCTTGATTATACTACGAACAACTACTATAAAAAAATTTAAATGATACATGCTCTAACATCTAAGTTTGTTTATGATAATTAAGAACCTTAATTCCTTGTAGTTGAGAAATTTGTTTTTAGTGCTTTTGTAGCATGAATGGGTGGTTGGATTTGGCCAAGTTTAGGCGAACACAAGTGCCTGAATTTCAAAGAGGGAGTAACATGATAAAAAGAGATTTTTAAAAAAAATTATAAAAAGGAAATCGTAGTTGAGAGAGAAAAAAAAATTATAAATTGTTAAGATTTGAATTTTAAATATGTTAAATATTATTTTTTAAATAATTATATAAATTAATTGAATTAAATTTTTAATTTTATTATAAAAAATAATCTAAAAGCCCATAGATGCAGATTATGATATGACGTCCAAAATTCAAGGACATTTATGGTGGTATTCTTTTGAATCTAAGTAACACTACCAACTCCATTCAACTATTTTTTTTCGAAACTCGTTTTATTTCACAACATGGGAGCACATGCATGATTCTTTCCTTTTTCTTTTTGGGGGTGGAAATCCGAAATTCAATAAAGCTATAATAATGTGAAGAAAAATAGAGAAATGATTGATTTTGGGATATACTGATATCGAGGTTTTGGTACAATTTTCCAACTGGGGTCCTTAAGCTCGTCTAGATCGATCATGCCTGCCTATGGCTTAGATGGAAAAAACGAGTCCTGATTTGTCTGTGCTGGAGAGCCAGAATGGATTAGTGGAAGTCAAATGTGGAAATATTTACAGGTAATTGCCAAATGCGATTGTCATGATCTCAAAGGAGGAAAAGTCACAAACATGCTTGATTCAATTTGCAAAAAACGTGTTGCAATTAATAGGTAGATTTTCCAACAAACATCAATTATCAACTACTGCAACCGGTGTGAAATTCGCTACCCCTTAAATTGGGTTTTCCAACCCCTCGCGTGGCGTTCATGTCTTTAAAATAAAGTTATTCGTACGAATCGAGTTAGATTCAGCTGTTCCAATTGATTTTTTGAAAGTTTGCCCAAAATTTGATTTAAGCTGGTCAATTAAGCTTGAATAAGTCTCGTATCGTTTAAAAAATATATTAAATTTATTTTTAGATTTAAATTTTAAATATATTTTAAAATTAATATTAAAAAAATTAATCAAATAATATCTCAATCCCACTAGTTGTTAAATTCAAAAATTTTTATTTGAAACCCAATTCAAGTTGAATCATATTTACGAGTAAATCTACTTTAAAGTCGAACAAAATTATTGTCAAAGTCTAAGTTTTTCTAAAAAACAATTCCACATTCTCAATTAATAAACAACTTCTCATTAATTAATTATTCAGTTTCATTTGAAACAATTTTATAAAAGACTAGTACTTAAAAAAATAAATTAAGATCATTTTTACTATCTAGTATAACTTATTTATTTTTTTCAATTATTGTTTTTATATTAAAATAATAAAATTTAAATTTAAAATTTTTAAATATATATATAGATCATTAAATCAAATATTCATATAATCAATTGTTATTTATAAACAACTAGTAGTAGAAAAAGAATTGAAAGCAAATACCACAACTTAGTAGTTAGTACTATAACAATTTCAGATATACATATAATTGAGATTATAATAATTGGGGTTATTTTGGCTCTAAATACTTTTTTTTTTTTTTGGCTTATGGCTTTCATAAATGAAAAAGAAAAGGATAAGACAAAACTGAAACTAAAAAGTAAAATTATTGGAACATAGGATAGAATAAGGAAATTGGTGTTGGATAAGGAAAAATTATTGGCCTGATAGGCAGATAGGGATGATACCCCTATTAGATATGACTTATGAGAACCATTTATGTAAGTCTCGTTAACTCCTCCCATCTGAACTCTCAAGCTTTAAAAAGTTGCTCTCTTATTTGTATTTTTTACTTGCTTTAAAACTATAACTATAGTATAGCTTCATCGGGTGATCCATGGCGCAATCAACCCCACCTAGGCCAGTCCCAATTCAAATTTTAGCCCCAATTCATGTATGATTGACGTTGAACCAAAACAAAAAAGGCTGGCTTTCTTAATTTCTTTGAGATAACATAATTATAGGTAGCTTAGCTTTAGCTCCTTGGGGCTGGCCACTCTTGAAGCACACAGCATTTGTAAAAGGAGATTGAGATTAAAATAATATGAGATACAAAAATAGAAAGTACGTAATGGTCCATTATTTATGTGGATAAACCTTTTTGCAAGCACCTAGATGTGTCTAGGTGCAATAAAAAGCAGCTTTTATATTTTTGCACCATGCATCTCAATTTTGAAGCCTCCCCCACTTTCTTCTAACTTTTAGATTTCTATACGTTTGTTTCATTAGTAGAAGAATTGAATCAATGAATAAAGAAAGATTATGGCCCCCTTCTCCGTATAGGCTAAAAGTTTAAAAAAAGAAGAAGAAAAAAGTCCTATAAAATACTCCATTGTTCTTCTGACAAACAGTTATATGAAGATATTTTTTTTATGTTACATATGATATGATCATAGCGCCGCCTTGATTTCACTGTTCACGCATTGGGAATATTCGAAATCAAAAGCCTAATTGTCCTAGTAAAATAATACATAATATATATTAATGATTAGATTAGGAGATTAATTATGTATTAACATTAATATCCCATATGTGGATGTTACCATTAGCCGAAATTCAAGTTTTAAGCCCGTTGTACACGTAAGGCACATGCTTTGGGCAGAATGTGACATGCACCAAACAATATTCCAGGAAATTGAAGTGACGATCCAACTGCTAAACACATCGTTGCTATAAATGGAAGCATTGATCCCATCCCAATATGTCGTTTTTTATGCAGCCAGTGATCAAAACAATTAAGTACTCGTAAAACGATTTTATTTGACTTTCTTTTTTTCTTTTTCTACACATTTATTTGAATAAGTTTAGGAGGAGAAAATTCAAACTTTTACCTTATTCTCTTAATAATATGAAAGAACTTCTTTTTTGTGAAAATAATATTTAGGTAGGAGGAGATTATTTTATTTTAAGATTAGAACATATCACAGATTTTAACAATAATTTGTATTGAATTATGTTATCTCTCTTTTTTTTATTGGAAAAGTGTTTCCTCAAAGTAAGTTTAGTGATTTACTAAGAGAAAATACAAAATAAATAAGTTAGGCAATGTTTGAATGGTATTTTATTTTTATTTTTATTTTTTATAAAAATAATAGAAAGTAAAAAATATAATTAAACAATAAATAAATACTAAAATATACATAATAAAAATATCAATAAAATAAAACCTTAAGTAAAACTTAAATTGTATAAGTTAAAACACAATCTCGTCAATCTTTTTCATTTTAATATTGGTTTTGTCACAATAATACTAACATGCATGAAAAATCAGCACAACAAACCTACACTTTGTCGTCTACGACACCTGGTACAAATGATTCCACACTCCATAGTGCTCACCTGATCCAGGAAAACTATACTTTTGAACTTTTTTTTTTTCACTTTGGATAACTGTTATTAAAAAAAAAATCAATAGGATGAGGATCCAACTAATTAATAAAAATTGATGAGTGGCGTTTGGCGGAAATCAATTGCCTGCCAAAGGCTTGACATATTTGACATAATCCCATTAATCATGCTTAGTATATCAAGACCAGCGAAAAGTCACTTACCATCATCACCAGGGATTAAATTTGAGAAAAAAAAAAAAAAAAAAAAGCTACTTTAGGAATTTAATGGACAGAATTCTCATTTCTTCTACGGGTTGTTTTTTTGCCAACGATTTCTTCCAAGGTTGGAAACCATCAAATCAAATGTAGGAATGCAACACTGCTATGCTATGGATAAACATTCCAAGTTCCAATACCCTCGAGCATTGGTACTTCAAAACTTAATTATATTTATTTATGCATTACATCAACGTTGAAAAACGAAGTTGTGGGTGAAAAGCTGTAAAATTTT